CAAAGTCTGGTGGGCGCCAAGATCCTTCTGGGATCCCTTATTTATTTATAAGTTGCCTTTTAAAACTTGTGCCTATTTGAATAACTTATCTCAAATCATCATCATGCCTAAATAAAAACAAGAAAATACCATCATGGCAACATTATCATAATCAAAACTCAAATTCCATAAAACTAAAACAAACTATGAACAAAAGAAAGCTTTGCATGGAGGCTCCTAAACAAGTACAAATATCAGGTGTTGTCCATAAATAGAATTTATACAAGCACATCTTGACCCCAACCACAGTCGCTTCAGAGTGGGGATATCACGCGGAGAGAGCTTCCCGACAGGTAACATTGTGGAATATGACCAATATTACAAACGTTCAGCGAAGGTTGGCATAGCCTTGATGGGAAAACCATCGGTAGAGCTATCGGCCCCTCATCCTTTGTCAGAATCTATGGTAAAACTATCGGCCCCTCATCCTTTGTCAGAACCTATGGTGGACCTATCGGCCCCTCATCCTTTGTCAGAATCTACGGTGGAGCTATCAGCACCTCATCCTTTGTCAGAACCTACGGTAGAACTATCGGCCCCTCATCCTTTGTCAGAACCTATGGTGGAGCTATCAGCCCCTCATCCTTTGTCAGAACCTATGGTAGAACTATCGGCCCCTCATCCTTTGTCAGAACCTATGGTGGACCTATCGGCCCCACATCCTTTGTCAGAACCTACGGTAGAGCTATCGGCCCCTCATCCTTTGTCAGAACCTACGATAGAGCTATCGACCACTCATCCTTTGTCAGAACCTACGGTGGAGCTATCAGCCCCTCATCCTTTGTCAGAACCTATGGTGGACCTATCGGCCCCACATCTTTTGTCAGAACCTACGGTAGAGCTATCGGCCCCTGGTCCTTTGTCAGAACCAACGGTGGAGCTATCGGCGCCTCATTCTTTTTCAGAACCTATGGTGGACCTATCGGCCCCATATCCCTTGTCAGAACCTACGGTAGAGCTATCGGCCCCTCGTCCTTTGTCAGAACCTACGGTGGAGCTATCGGCCCCACATCCTTTGTCAGAACCTACGGTAGAGCTATCGGCCCCTCATCCTTTGTCAGAATCTATTGTAGAGCTATCGGCCCCATATCCTTTGTCAGAACCTATGGTGGACCTATCGGCCCCACATACTTTGTCAGAAGAACCTATCCTTTGTAGAGCTATCGGCCCCTCATCCTTTGTCAGAACCTACGGTGGAGCTATCAGCCCCTCATCCTTTGTCAGAACCTATGGTGGACCTATCGGCCCCACATCCTTTGTCAGAACCTACGGTAGAGCTATCGGCCCTTCGTCCTTTGTCAGAACCTACGGTGGAGCTATCAGCCCCTCATCCTTTGTCAGAACCTATGGTGGACCTATCGGCCCCACATCCTTTGTCAGAACCTACGGTAGAGCTATCGGCCCCTGGTCCTTTGTCAGAACCAACGGTGGAGCTATCGGCCCCTCATCCTTTGTCAGAACCTATGGTGGACCTATCGGCCCCATATCCTTGTCAGAACCTACGGTAGAGCTATCGGCCCCTCGTCCTTTGTCAGAACCTACGGTGGAGCTATCGGCCCCACATCCTTTGTCAGAACCTACGGTAGAGCTATCGGCCCCTCATCCTTTGTCAGAATCTATTGTAGAGCTATCGGCCCCATATCCTTTGTCAGAACCTATGGTGGACCTATCGGCCCCACATACTTTGTCAGAACCTACGGTAGAGCTATCGGCCCCTCATCCTTTGTCAGAACCTACGGTGGAGCTATCGGCGCCTCATCCTTTGTCAGAACCTACGGTAGAGTTATCGACCCCTTATCTTTGTCAGAACCTACGGTGGAGCTATCGGCCCCACATCCTTTGTCAGAACCTACGGTAGAGCTATCGGCCCCTCATCCTTTGTCAGAATCTATTGTAGAGCTATCGGCCCCATATCCTTTGTCAGAACCTATGGTGGACCTATCGGCCCCACATACTTTGTCAGAACCTACGGTAGAGCTATCGGCCCCTCATCCTTTGTCAGAACCTACGGTAGAGCTATCGGCCCCTCATCCTTTGTCAGAACCTACGGTACAGTTATCGACCCCTTATCTTTGTCAGAACCTACGGTAGAGCTATCGGCCCCTCGTCCTTTGTCAGAACCTACGTTGAAGATATCGACCCCTCATCCTTTGTCAGAACCTATGGTGGACCTATCTGTCCTCATTCTTTGTGAGAACCTACGATAGAGCTATCGACCACTCATCCTTTGTCAGAACCTACGGTGGAGCTATCAGTCCCTCATCCTTTGTCAGAACCTATGGTGGACCTATCGGCCCCACATCCTTTGTCAGAACCTACAGTAGAGCTATCGGCCCCTCGTCCTTTGTCAGAACCTACGGTGGAGCTATCGGCGCCTCATTCTTTATCAGAACCTATGGTTGACCTATCGGCCCCACATCCTTTGTCAGAACCTACGGTAGAGCTATCGGCCCCTCATCCTTTGTCAGAACCTACGGTGGAGCTATCGGCCCCTCATCCTTTGTCAGAACCTACGGTAGAGCTATCGGCCCCTCGTCCTTTGTCAGAACCTACGGTGGAGCTATCGGCCCCTCATCCTTTGTCAGAACCTATTGTAGAGCTATCGGCCCCTCATCCTTTGTCAGAACCTATGGTGGACCTATCGGCCCCACATACTTTGTCAGAACCTACGGTAGAGCTATCGGCCCCTCATCCTTTGTCAGAACCTACGGTAGAACTATCGGCCCCTCATCCTTTGTCAGAACCTATGGTGGACCTATCGGCCCCACATCCTTTGTCAGAACCTACGGTAGAGCTATCGGCCCCTCATCCTTTGTCAGAACCTACGGTAGAGCTATCGGCCCCTCATCCTTTGTCAGAACCTACGGTGGAGCTATCAGCCCCTCATCCTTTGTCAGAACCTATGGTGGACCTATCGGCCCCACATCCTTTGTCAGAACCTACTAGAGCTATCGGCCCCTGGTCCTTTGTCAGAACCTACGGTGCCCCTCATTCTTTTTCAGAACCTATGGTGGACCTATCGGCCCCACATCCTTTGTCAGAACCTACGGTAGAGCTATCGGCCCCTCGTCCTTTGTCAGAACCTACGGTGGAGCTATCGGCCCCTCATCCTTTGTCAGAACCTACGGTAGAGCTATCGGCCCCTCATCCTTTGTCAGAACCTACGGTGGAGCTATCGGCCCCATATCCTTTGTCAGAACCTATGGTGGACCTATCGGCCCCACATCCTTTCAGAACCTCAGAGCTATCGGCCCCTCGTCCTTTGTCAGAACCTACGGTGGAGCTATCGGCCCCTCATCCTTTGTCAGAACCTACGGTGGAGCTATCAGCCCCTCGTCCTTTGTCAGAACCTACGGTGGAGCTATCGGCCCCTCATCCTTTGTCAGAACCTACGGTAGAGCTATCGGCCCCTCATCCTTTGTCAGAACCTATTGTAGAGCTATCGGCCCCTCATCCTTTGTCAGAGCTATCGGCCCCTCATCCTTTGTCAGAACCTACGGTGAACCTATCGGCCCCACATCCTTTGTCAGAACCTACGGTAGAGCTATCGGCCCCTCATCCTTTGTCAGAACCTACGGTAGAGCTATCGGCCCCTCGTCCTTTGTCAGAACCTACGTTGAAGATAGACCCCTCATCCTTTGTCAGAACCTATGGTGGACCTATCCCTCATCCTTTGTCAGAACCTACGGTAGAGCTATCGGCCCCTCATCCTTTGTCAGAACCTACGGTGGAGCTATCAGCCCCTCATCCTTTGTCAGAACCTATGGTGGACCTATCGGCCCCACATCCTTTGTCAGAACCTACAGTAGAGCTATCGGCCCCTCGTCCTTTGTCAGAACCTACGGTGGAGCTATCGGCGCCTCATTCTTTGTCAGAACCTATGGTGGACCTATCGGCCCCACATCCTTTGTCAGAACCTACGGTAGAGCTATCGGCCCCTCGTCCTTTGTCAGAACCTACGGTGGAGCTATCGGCCCCTCATCCTTTGTCAGAACCTACAGTAGAGCTATCGGCCCCTCATCCTTTGTCAGAACCAATGGTGGACCTATCAGCCCCACATCCTTTGTCAGAACCTACGATAGAGCTATCGACCACTCATCCTTTGTCAGAACCTACGGTGGAGCTATCAGCCCCTCATCCTTTGTCAGAACCTATGGTGGACCTATCGGCCCCACATCCTTTGTCAGAACCTACAGTAGAGCTATCGGCCCCTCGTCCTTTGTCAGAACCTACGGTGGAGCTATCGGCGCCTCATTCTTTGTCAGAACCTATGGTGGACCTATCGGCCCCACATCCTTTGTCAGAACCTACGGTAGAGCTATCAGCCCCTCATCCTTTGTCAGAACCTACGGTGGAGCTATCGGCCCCATATCCTTTGTCAGAACCTACAGTAGAGCTATCGGCCCCTCGTCATTTGTCAGAACCTACGGTGGAGCTATCGGCCCCTCATCCTTTGTCAGAACCTACGGTAGAGCTATCGGCCCCTCATCCTTTGTCAGAACCTACGGTAGAGCTATCGGCCCCTCATCCTTTGTCAGAACCTATTGTAGAGCTATCGGCCCCTCATCCTTTGTCAGAACCTACGGTGGACCTATCGGCCCCACATCCTTTGTCAGAACCTACGGTAGAGCTATCGGCCCCTCATCCTTTGTCAGAACCTACGGTGGAGCTATCGGCCCCTCGTCCTTTGTCAGAACCTACGGTGGAGCTATCGGCCCCTCATCCTTTGTCAGAACCTACGGTGGAGCTATCGGCCCCTCATCCTTTGTCAGAACCTACGGTAGAGCTATCGGCCCCTCATCCTTTGTCAGAACCTATTGTAGAGCTATCGGCCCCTCATCCTTTGTCAGAACCTACGGTGAAGATATTGAGTCCCCATCCTTTGTCAGAACCTACGGTAGAGCTATCGGCCCCTCATCCTTTGTCAGGACCTACGGTAGAGCTATCGGCCCCTCATCTTTTGTCAGAACCTATATTCTTATAGATGATAATGCTTGGCCACCCAGAGCAAGGATGTCTGAGAAGTAACCAGAGAAAGAGACTATTCAACGAACGAAGCCCATCGCCACACGTGCGGGACATGTTGCGGACAGATTTCTCTGCCAGAAAAACCCAGCCAAGGACGCTCCGGAGCAGGGAACAGCTTTGATGACGATGTGGAACACTAGAATGTATCATACTAAACCGGATACGCAATCTTATTCGTAACATACGCAGACGTTAAGCAGGTGTAATTGATTATCATGGGCATCATAGGATGTGTGATTGTAGTTTTGATCTCTTTAAGTACTTTTAGGAAATGCCTCATTGTTACCAACTTTAATGGTAACCCTTTTCCCGCGGCTCAGTTTCCAAATGCAATTACGAGTCGTAAAGGTTTTTGTATGTTGATATATTACAAGAACAGTTTGTATTCAGATATGTCTAAAATAAAAGTGATCATGAGCGAAATGAGAATAGTATACTATAAAACCTTCTTCAATTGTAGCATCATCAGAAATAAACAGGACGTTAATTGCAATAGGCCCTGGAATGCAGTCGCTATGACAACAGTAGACAATTACTAAATGAAAACGGAATCAAATTAAACCGCAAATAATACCATAAAACTACGAACATTATAGATAACAGTCTACTTGATGTGACAAACATGTAGGGGTATTGAGAAAGTCCAGTCTTAACTACAAATATAGGGAACATCGTCACTTCAGAAATATACAATAGTTATTGACACTGAAGTCAGGCATAAATTATGGAACTTGTGTTCAGCACATCCCTCTCATTAATAATCGGAATAGTCACACGATGCGTGTAGCATCAAACGACTTTATACAAAAGCTGAACTCGAAATTACGGAAACATTTTAATGTAATTGTGTTGGGATGATGAAATACAGGGTTTATACAAGGTATTGTGGTAGATAATATGACCTACGCTCCGAATGGGTCCACTCTGGTACAAAGGTTATCTACCCTAATGGTAACACCACGACAACGTTACATGGACATGTTTGCGCGTGATACGCAGTCCATTATTTACACACCACGTGCTCTTTAGATTGGAAGATCTTGTGCCACTTCAACATGAAAACATCAAAAGTTTCCAAAAGGCACCAGTCCATGTTTAGCTCCTCGTGAAAATTTCCACTCCAGCTTACGTCTAGGTTTGGCTCGCTTGCTCCAGTATGGAGACCCAACCGTTCAGGGACATCTGAAAACAACAATCAAAGTACTGAAAGTACTGGTATGCTAAGACCATTAAAAATAAATTCTTTGTTATTAGCTTGCTATATACTGAAACCAACTATATGCAATCAGTAAATCATTGCAGCCCATAAAAAATGACCAGCAGATATCAGAAATAACAAGCATAGTAGTATTACTTATGTAATACATGTCCCAAGTAGGCTCCAAGATGCAATGATAGGGAAGTTGTCCATTTCTTTGGATACATTGTAGGGAATGTTGATCATGGACACCATATTATCACTTTAAAGACTGTGTATCCTATTGGTTTAAGACCATTAGTTAGACCATCATGCAAGTAACATGCTACATACAAACATTGGACAGCTTCATTTTCCAGATTGTTTGTAAATGACTGCATAAGAGTGCCAATTTTCTAAAACAAACATGACTTGTCACCATAACTTAAAATAGAAGATGCCTATTCTTCCAGAAAACCTTGTCTTATTCTCCTTGTACTTTTTCTGGGAATCTTCAAGTAGATATTGACTTTGTTCCAATTTTTCATGTTTATATATTCTTTGTTCTCTAAAACTTGTCACAAGATATTTTATTCCTCTTGTATCATCATTTTTTTTAACATCCTTACAGTGACCTTGAACCTTGAAATTTACAAGATGTGAATATCTTTTAAGTTGTGAAATTTGATAGAAAAACGAGGGTAATACAATGGAAAAACACCCCCATGCAACTATCCGTTTTTTGACTGTGACCTTGATCTTTGATCTGACCCTGAATTTCTAAAGAAACCGACTTCTCCTCACAAGGGATACATGTTCCAAATTTGATTAAGGTATACTAACTGTCTTGGTCTCAATGCGTTTACAAGGTAATCATATAGTACTTATGCAAGTACTGTGACCTCTACATTCAATCCTCAAAATCATTACTATATCCTCTCCACATTGCCCAGGGATAACTGAAACTGTAATCCAAATGATAACTAATACCCCCATCACCCACAGCCTTAGTTATCTCCCCATGGTGACCTTTTGCAAAAAAACATCCTCTGAAACACAGCGGCATGTGCACATGTTCCCTAATATTCCTGCGAAATTTTGTTGAAATTGGTCCACAGGTTTAGAAGTTGACCGACATGCAAAACCTGTCTATATTGACCAGATGCCATGGCAATCAATATTTCCAGGGGAAAATGGTGCATGCACATCTACACATTGTCCCGAATATTACTGTAGTTTCATTGGAGTTGTCTAGACAAGATGTGTCTACAGACAGACAAACAGATGGATGGACAGATAGACAACTTGATTCGATTTACCCACCCTTTTGGTGGTATAAGAATGCACAAGAGTGCTTACAAATTCCATGTGGACAGACATCATGGAAAAATAATAATGATAATAATAAAAATAAAAACATGATAAAGATGCTTATATCTTGTTTTCTTTATTCAGTATACTTTCCATGCTTTGATCAGCAATGTAATCGTGTCATGTCAATATCCTAGTACAAGATTGCATACACAAAATTGTTGTAGGTAGACTTTTAAGATAAATTAAAAAAAATACATGTCTAAGTTTAAATGAAGGTTTTAAACAGAAGTTGTATTATGTTCAGTATACAGTGATTTTTCTAGACAATTGTAAACTATAAACTCGGTATACAGCGATCTTTTCTACACATTTGTAAACAACAAACTCAGTATGCGGTGATCTTTTCTACAAAAAGTTTTTTTATATATTGTATATACATAACTCAGAAAAAAAATAAGTAAACCTTTCTATGTACACTACAAACTCAGTATACAGTGAGCCTTTCTACATAAACTTGGTATAACTAGTGAATCTTTCTACTTAAGTAAATTGAAGATTGTAAAGAAATTTACTACAAATGCAGCATACAATGATCTTTTCCACATTTTTTTTAGTTTCTGCCATTTGTTGATTCTTCTTTTGTGATGGTAATTATATTGCCGCCTTTAGAGAGTACTGTGACCTTAAAAGGCAACATGGTTGTTAGCATATCCTCAAGTGATTAACCATCTTCAACATCTAATTGGAGGTCGGAAAGAAGGACGTTTTTCTCCACCATAAGGTCCTCAAATCCATTGTTGGTCACAATGGCCAATTCCAAGTTAGAATAATCAAGAGATACCTTCTACCATTCCAGATTTCATTTCTTCAGGGACATCCACCTGCTGAAAGAGAGTAAAGCAAATAAATAACTATATTTCTTTATTGCTATGATTATGTGCAAGAAATATACACTTCTGTATAAGCTTATAGTCTTGAACTTCCCAATAGGAGTCTATATTAAATATAATTAATTGTTTTGACATTCAGGACTGTCAAATTATGAAGTGATGGACAGCTAGAAAATAAGAATATCTTGACCATGGTCATACAGTGATTGAATCAAAAAGTTAAATTCATGAGATAAATCTGTGCAGTATGATAATTTATTTTGACGTTTGTATTTCAAAAATCATTATGACTTGAAAGGTAATGTGTAATTTAATTAATTACATTGGACCGTCATGCAATGGCAATGCCATTTTCATAATGTAATTGTAATTTCATTAATTACATCATCATGTAATTGAACCCATGCCTGTTACAAACAGTAGCTGTCCTAACTGATCCTAAAATTAAATTTGGCTATGTCTATCACAAAATTAATGTTGGCTGTCTATTACAAATGCCATATTTAGCTACAGTAGAGGTATTTCAAAAATGTATGTCATTGTAACTGAAAGGACACAATTAATGGTTACTTAACCAGAACTACAGTTCTGAACAAACCACTACAAAGCCTGGTTAACTGTACTAAGAAAATGTCTTCTCAATTAATCAATTTCATTGATTATTGACATCTTATTGTTGTACTTACAGTCACTTGAGTTTCTTAAAAGTTGCAATTTGACTTTTAATAAGGCCCAAAATGATAATACTGCAATGTCTTAATTAGCTCTCGAGGGGTATTGGTTAGACTATTTATCTCATTTCATTCCATTCACCATGAAAACAAAACTCTAAAAAACAGTCGACAATTAATGACAAATATTGAGCCTAGGGCTGGGTAAAATTGATGAATCAAAAGTGTTGAACTGAAAGTGGACGCAGTTGACATAATACTGAAATTTCTGAGATGAACAAATACAGTACATATATCAAAAAGTTCAATTGTACCAATAATACTTTACACATTCACACTGGGACTTTACACATTCACACTGGGACTTTACACATACACACTGGGACCTAACACTTTGCTAGGTTTATCCTAATCTTTATTAAAATACTTTCCGGGAATCAGATGTTAATTGACATCTTCATTATTCCTAATCTTCATATTGTAATCGTTCACATGCATCACTCTTCAACAGAATCAACGAGACATCATGTCAGAAAGACAAAAACTAAAATTAAGCTAAAACTATATATATTAACTTCACATGTAAACCTTAAAATTAGCATAGCTGTAGAGTTCCCGTACGATTTCATACTCTGGCCTTTGGCCGTTGGGGTACTTATAAATTATCTCCGATCAGAAATTTGAAAGAGCTAGACCTACAATAGCGCGGACAGTGACAGATATTTTAAAGTAAAATCGATATATTACCCAGACAGATTCCTAGATCTATTCACGGTAGCGTAAGTAGTACAGTACAATATTACGGATAAGTTTTTTTTCTGGTTAATTTCCGATCCGTTGGGCCACTGACAGAGGTGACTGCGATGAGACCATTATGAAACGATCATTCCAAAATAAATCCATTTCAAAATACTGAAATACTTTACGGAAGCAACAAAAATGTGCTAGATGCTTACATAACATTTTTCAAATGCATACTGCTTCAAGGGAAAAGTCTTGAAAATATTTTGAAAAAAAGTGCTATGGCGGCAGTGCCCAGCTTGCGCGTCGCCGTCAAGCCTAAATTCAATAGACGCGAAGGCTCATTCCTAATGAATTGTTGCAAAAAATGCAATTGATAGTTCAGTATAAGTATTGACTTCAAATTCAGCTAACATATATATATATAGTGATACTTACCTACATGAATTACCCGCCATCTTCTTTCAGCCGCCGTCTTCTTTCAGGGTCCAGCAGCACAGAGCACCCCGGCTGTTTCCGTCAAAATTTTATGCTACTCTAAATCATTCTTATTTTAGTTTCATTTTTATTTTCAACTACATATATCAGTATTTTTAATAGTTATCAACAGTATTAAACGGGAAGTAAATTTTCGAAAAAAGAAAAATAGAAAGATATACAAATGTATATGACTCCCACAATGCATCGCGCGGAGAAGAAAGTTAAGCCGCCATATTGGCATCGCCTCGCAAAATTTACCACCATAAACGTGAGTCTTTGTCATTGTATTTACAAATTTCGATGTCTGATTATCATTAATACACAACACAAAACATTTTCTTGATGTACAGGTAATGAAGAAAATGTCGATAATGTTGTTTCATTTAATGACTAGCATCAGCAACTTGTAGGGGCGATAATCCAATGATTACGGTAATGTCCGGCAGATGGAGTAGGAGTAAACTTTCGATTTATGAACCAATGAAAACGAAGTACTGATACTCAGCCTCAGGGGCGATAGCAACATGCTGAAGAGCATTGAAAATGCTCTTAGCATAAAAACGGTTAGGAGTACACGCCCAAATATCCTGACCCGATTTCACTTGATTATTGAGAAGTTGTTTAAAGAGTTTAATCAATCCCCCATCTGTTCCGTGACATTGAAAGTGGATCAACAGAATTCATTTGAACCATCTTGGCAGCCCTTCATTCCAACATGCTAGATGACCATTCCCAGGACCACGCTTTTCTTAGTTATTTCAAAGGAAAATATGACCATTCCAGTACAAGTTACTTTACCTATAAATTTTCAAATCCACCTTGTCGGCGGCTTTGTCTCCCTCATCTTGCGCCACCCCAAGCCTCCGTCGACCGACTGACTTCCTTCATGCCGATCAGGCGGTGTCGGCTGGGGAGGAGATCCGGCAGAGGTCGCTGTAGCGTTTCTGAGAACATTAGTCCGGAAAATCCTACCATTGACATTAGTACGCCATACCCAATGTAAGGTAAAGTGTAGTGAAAATTCTGAAACAAAACCAATAATGAGATATTACAAATAAAAAAAGCAATGGAGCGTGGCGGGATATCCAGTGATGCTCACTTCTATCCGATAGATGATTCATGTAGCGTTACTGGGGATGTTTCGTCATGCATGATATGATGCCTGAAAATCCTATTGTTTGCTAGAAATTTGGCAAAGGACGGTGGAAATAAACCTTCGATAGGAACAGATCTGCTTGTAATTTCAAAACCCTAGCTTCACATTTCATGTCGATGTAACAGATCCAATTTGACCTGAATGACTTACTTTGGTAAAGGAAAGGACCTGTCTTCCTACAGCACAGCCGACAACGCCTGACATGATCCCCACAGACGTCCCCATACACCTGTAGTAAAACAGAAATATAGGTGTACAATGACGTCACCATACACCTGTAGTAAAACAGAAATATAGGTGTATATAGGTGTACAATGAAATCACCATACACCTGTAGTAAAATAGAAATATAGGTGTACAATGACATCACCATACACCTGTAGTAAAACAGAAATATAGGTGTTACCTTCTTAATGGTAGTGAGATAAAGATTTACCTGATGGTAGTGAGATAACGATTTACCTGATGGTAGTGAGATCACGATTTACCTACCTCATGGTAGTGAGATAACGATTTACCTATCTCGTGGTAGTCAGATAAAGATTTACCTGATGGTAGTGAGATAACGATTTACCAACCTCATGGTAGTGAGATAACGATTTACCTCATGGTAGTGAGATAACGATTTACCTACCTCATGGTAGTGAGATAAAGATTTACCTGATGGTAGTGAGATAACGATTTACCTCATGATAGTGAGATATAGATTTACCTGATGGTAGTGAGATAAAGATTTACCTACCTCGTGGTAGTGAGATAACGATTTACCTACCTCATGGTAGTGAGATAAAGATTTACCTACCTCATGGTAGTGAGATAACGATTTACCTATCTCGTGGTAGTCAGATAAAGATTTACCTGATGGTAGTGAGATAACGATTTACCAACCTCATGGTAGTGAGATAACGATTTACCTCATGGTAGTGAGATAACGATTTACCTACCTCATGGTAGTGAGATAAAGATTTACCTGATGGTAGTGAGATAACGATTTACCTGGTAGTGAGATATAGATTTACCTGATGGTAGTGAGATAAAGATTTACCTACCTCGTGGTAGTGAGATAACGATTTACCTACCTCATGGTAGTGAGATAAAGATTTACCTACCTCGTGGTAGTGAGATAAAGATTTACCTACCTCGTGGTAGTGAGATAACGATTTACCTACCTCGTGGTAATGAGATAACGATTTACCTCGTGGTAGTGAGATAAAGATTTACCTACCTCATGGTAGTGAGATAAAGATTTACCCACCTCGTGGTAGTGAGATAACGATTTACCTGCCTCGTGGTAGTGAGATAACGATTTACCTACCTCGTGGTAGTGAGATAACGATTTACCTACCTCATGGTAGTGAGATAAAGATTTACCTACCTCATGGTAGTGAGATAAAGATTTACCTACCTCGTGGTAGTGAGATAAATATTTACCTACCTCATAGTAGTGAGATAAAGATTTACCTACCTAATGGTAGTGAGATAACGATTTACCTGATGTTAGTGAGATAAAGATTTACCTGCCTCGTGGTAGTGAGATAAAGATTTACCCACCTCGTGGTAGTGAGATAAAGATTTACCTACCTAATGGTAGTGAGATAAAGATTTACCTGATGGTAGTGAGATAAAGATTTACCTGATGGTAGTGAGATAACGATTTACCTTATGGTAATGAGATAACGATTTACCTGATGGTAGTGAGATAACGATTTACCTTATGGTAGTGAGATAACGATTTACCCGATGGTAGTGAGATAAAGATTTACCTGATGGTAGTGAGATAAAGATTTACCTACCTCGTGGTAGTGAGATAACGATTTACCTGATGGTAGTGAGATAAAGATTTACCTGCCTCGTAGTAGTGAGATGTAGACAATATTTAAGAGCGTCTCCAGTAATAACAAATACATTTCACAAAAGTGTCTAATATTTTAGTATCTTTCACGAGTGCGCTGTACAGTATGAGATATTCTTCAGATTAAATTTTCACATGCAAAAAACCCAAATTACTGGCATATTTAGAACAGATATAAAACGAGAAAGCAGACATGTCTGTAAAAGTGCTATTTTTCACTAATGAAAATAACACGTTTATCAATGAGTTATTCCTCTATTTTTACTGGCAAAATTTAATAAAAAATATTCCACTGACGGTGACTTGATAACGAATGACTGATGGTGCAGTTGTTTGATACAAGTTTACCTTATGGCCGTACGATAACGTGAGATAAATCTGGTAGAATGGCAGTGGGGAAATGTTTTTACCTGATGGCAGTGGGATAGGTTTCTATGGTAACAAGACTGGTGAGCGCGATGGAGGCAGTTACCCCCAATTTCCCAAACACAGATATGCTGGTGACCATTTGTTCGTCTTTGTCCAGATTGTTTGTGATGTGAAGGACGATGATGCACATCAAAGCGAACCCGGACGATGTCCCGTACAGGAAGAGGCACCAGCGGCGGCCGATACTGTAACACAAACAGTCAAATCACATGGTAACAATGTTACTTTAGAGGAACCAGCGGCGGCCGGTACTGTAGCACAAACATTCAAATCATATGGTAACACTACTGTCAGTATTGTAGAACAAGAGGCCGTCAGTATTGTAGAACAAGAGGGCGTCAGTTTTGTAGAACAAGAGGGCGTCAGTACTGTAGAACAAGAGGGCGTCAGTATTGTAGAACAACAGGGCGTCAGTACTGTAAAACAAGAGAGCGTCAGTACTGTAGAACAAGAGGGCGTCAGTACTGTAGAACAAGAGGGCGTCAGTATTGTAGAACAACAGGGCGTCAGTACTGTAAAACAAGAGAGCGTCAGTACTGTAGAACAAGAGGGCGTCAGTATTGTAGAACAAGAGGGCGTCAGTATTGTAGAACAAGAGGGCGTCAGTACTGTAGAACAAGAGAGCGTCAGTACTGTAGAACAAGAGAGCGTCAGTACTGTAGAACAACAGAGCGTCAGTACTGTAGAACAAGAGAGCGTCAGTACTGTAAAACAAGAGAGCGTCAGTACTGTAAAACAAGAGAGCGTCAGTACTGTAAAACAAGAGAGCGTCAGTACTGTAGAACAAGAGGGCGTCAGTATTGTAGAACAAGAGGGCGTCAGTATTGTAGAACAAGAGGGCGTCAGTACTGTAGAACAAGAGGGCGTCAGTACTGTAGAACAAGAGGCCGTCAGTATTGTAGAACAAGAGGGCGTCAGTACTGTAGAACAAGAGGCCTTCAGTACTGTAGAACAAGAGGGCGTCAGTACTGTAGAACAAGAGACCGTCAGTATTGTAGAACAAGAGGCCGTCATTATTGTAGAATAAGAGGCCGTCAGTATTGTAGAACAAGAGACCGTCAGTATTGTAGAACAAGAGGGCGTCAGTATTGTTGAACAAGAGGGCGTCAGTACTGTAGAACAAGAGGGCGTCAGTACTGTAGAATAAGAGGGCCTGTCAGTAGTATTGTAGAACAAGAGGGCGTCAGTATTGTAGAACAAGAGGGCGTCTGTATTGTAGAACAAGAGGCCGTCAGTACTGTAGAACAAGAGAGCGTCAGTACTGTAAAACAAGAGAGCGTCAGTACTGTAGAACAAGAGGGCGTCAGTATTGTAGAACAACAGGGCGTCAGTACTGTAGAACAAGAGGCCGTCATTATTGTAGAATAAGAGGCCGTCAGTACTGTAGAACAAGAGACCGTCAGTATTGTAGAACAAGAGGCCGTCAGTATTGTAGAACAAGAGGGCGTCAGTACTGTAGAACAAGAGGGCGTCAGTACTGTAGAACAAGAGGGCGTCAGTATTGTAGAACAAGAGGCCGTCATTATTGTAGAATAAGAGGGCGTCAGTATTGTAGAACAAGAGGCCGTCAGTACTGTAGAACAAGAGGGCGTCAGTACTGTAGAACAAGAGGCCGTCAGTACTGTAGAACAAGAGGGCGTCAGTATTGTAGAACAAGAGGGCGTCAGTATTGTAGAACAAGAGGGCGTCAGTACTGTAGAACAAGAGGGCGTCAGTATTGTAGAACAAGAGGGCGTCAGTATTGTAGAACAAGAGGGCGTCAGTATTGTAGAACAAGAGGGCGTCAGTATTGTAGAACAAGAGGGCGTCAGTATTGTAGAACAAGAGGGCGTCAGTATTGTAGAACAAGAGGGCGTCAGTATTGTAGAACAAGAGGGCGTCAGTACTGTAGAACAAGAGGGCGTCAGTATTGTAGAACAAGAGGGCGTCAGTACTGTAGAACAAGAGGGCGTCAGTACTGTAGAACAAGAGGGCGTCAGTACTGTAGAACAAGAGGGCGTTGTAGAACAAGAGTATTGTAGAACAAGAGGGCGTCAGTATTGTAGATCAAGAGGGCGTCAGTATACTGTAGAACAAGAGGGCGTCAGTACTGTAGAACAAGAAGGTAGAACAAGAGGGCGTCAGTATTGTAGAACAAGAGGGCGTCAGTACGGTAGAACAAGATGGCGTCAGTATTGTAGAACAAGAGGGCGTCAGTACGGTAGAACAAGATGGCGTCAGTATTGTAGAACAAGAGGGCGTCAGTACTGTAGAACAAGAGGCCGTCAGTATTGTAGAACAAGGGGGCGTCAGTATTGTAGAACAAGAGGCCGTCAGTACTGTAGAACAAGAGGGCGTCAGTACTGTAAAACAAGAAGGCGTCAATATTGTAGAACAAGAGGGCGTCAGTATTGTAGAACAAGAGGGCGTCAGTACTGTAGAACAAGAGGGCGTCAGTACTGTAGAACAAGAGGCCGTCAGTACTGTAGAACAAGAGGCCGTCAGTATTGTAGAACAAGAGGCCGTCAGTATTGTAGAACAAGAGGCCGTCAGTATTGTAGAACAAGAGGGCGTCAGTATTGTAGAACAAGAGGGCGTCAGTACTGTAGAACTAGAGGGCGTCAGTATTGTAGAACAAGAGGGCGTCAGTATTGTAGAACAAGAGGGCGTTAGTATTGTAGAACAAGACGGCTTCAGTATTGTAGAACAAGAGGGCCATGTCCCTTTACAGTCATCTAACAATCGACAAATGGATGGCCAAACCACAGAATTCGCTGATGGTGGTCTGACAAATCTGATGAATTCAAATTTGAATATTCCTTGAAAGTATCAGAAACTCATAAATGAGAGGTTCTGTTCATAAAAAAAACAGTTGCACAACCATGTTACAAAATGGCTTCTGTGGTTACCATGTCGAGGTTTTGACCAGGCTGAAAAATAACAACAAATCATCTCTTTCTTTTCCTTAACAAATCAAACTCCGAACATTTTCCCCATTGGTGTGAATGAAACTTGAGAAGTAGCTCTAGATGAGTTATGTTGGATTTTGGACCAAAGCGAAAACATAAGATTTGGTCAGGACAATCTCAGGATCACTTCATGTGCGCTTGAAATCATTGCCACTCCCTGATAATGTCTCAAGCCAAATTTGGTTGAAATCTACACTAGTCTTAAGAAGTAGTGTTTTGGAGCAAAAAATGTCTAACTTCCTCTTTCAGAGCCCGCCCCCAATTTAAGAAATGACTCACCACCCACAATGATGCTTCGTACCACATTCGTTTTAAATCCATTAAAGTCTTTTGGAAGAGTAGCATTTTGATGCAAACTTATTGACTAATTTTCCATTTGGGGTCCCGCCCCAGGTCTCTAGATGTTAAATCGTTTTCTGAATTAAAGAATGATAACCTATAAGCAATAACGTTTCAGACCAAATCTGGTTGAAATCTACCCTAGCATTAAGAACTAGAATTTTGAAGCAAAATATTGTCTAATTTCCCCTTTTTTAGGTCCCGTCCCCAAGTTCCTAGGGGTCCAATCAACTTTTAGAAATGAAGAAATGATAACCCACCCGCAAGAATGTGTCTGATTGAAAGTTACCCGAGAATAAAGAATAAGCAGCGTTTAGAAGCAAAATCAATCACTAATTTTCCTTTTTTGGGCCCGTTCCTAGGCCCCTAGGGGCCGAATAAACTTTCTGAATTTTTAAAAATAATTTCCCATCCTTCTTAATGATGTTTCAGACCAAATTTGTTTGAAATCCATTCAAGAATTTACGAAAACTAGCATTTTGAAGCAAAATGCTGATTAACTTTCCCATTTTGGGCCCCACCCGTCCCCAGGTTCATTAGGATTGAATTAACCTTCTGAATATAGGAAATGATAACCTTTCTGTAATAATTTTTCAGACCGAATTTGGTTGAAATCTACCCAGGCGTTAAGAAGGAGTATCGTTTTGAATCAAAATGTTGTCAAATTTCCCCATCCGGGGCCCCGTACCCAAGTCCTTAAAGGGCGAATCAACCTTCTGAATTTAAGTAATGATTCCCTTATCTCAATGATGTTTCAGATCAAATTTGGTTAAAATTTATCAAGAATTAAGGAAAAATAATTTGAAGCAAAGTATTGTCTAACTACCCTTTTTGGGATCCGTACGAAGGTCCCTAGAGGTCGAATCAATTTTCTTGATTAAAAAAAATCCCCACCATCGATGATGATTTTGAACAAATCTAGTTGAAATCCTCGGAGGCGTTAAGCAGGAGTGGTGTTTTGAAGGTAAAGTTTACGGACGGCGGATGGCGCCCGACAGCAATAGGTAATAATGACCTTTGGGATCAGATGACAAAATAAAGCGTCTCGACCGTCACTGCTGTAGAATAAAGAGTCTCACTGACGTCGACGACCGCTATTTTTATGAAGTAAAGGGACTCAAGGACGACGTTGACGTCAGTATTGTAGGAAAAAATAACTCACAGACGTATGCAACCGTTTATTTTGCAGGATAAAGAAACTCACCGACGTAAGTGTTTATTTCACAGGGTAAAGAGATTCAAAGGCGACCACCAATATTGTTGGACAAAGACACTCGTGTTTCCAATACACTCTACACACTAAGACAGACAGCAGTAACGACTGACCCTTTGCAGTGGACCAGTACATGATGCTTGTTGAATATAACTTCTAGATTTATAATGAAAAAAAACCCAGATTAAGGAATTTGAATGACATTGATTACTTGGTTGTCCCTGGAGAGTCTGTCGCGTGTTTGGAGTCTTATCTAACTAGAAATCCGAATATTGGATGCTGCTGCATCGATGCATTCTCTTAGGGAACTATTGATTTCATTATAAAATGTAATGTCTTCTTGAATGATTCTTGAAATGTTTTAAAGCCGTTTTTTCATTCTACAATGTAGTCGAAGATAACTTTGATAAGTGACGAGTGTCAGACGTGCCTTTGATTGACAGTCCCAGTTTTGAGCCAAAACTCGGGGCCGCGATAAGATAATCAAGTTTTATAAAGAATCGTGTCTATCATTCCGGAAACGCATCTGAATATCGAATTTTACCCAAACTTCGATAAATTTAACTGGCACAAACGGTGCCTTAATGATCTGCACTATCGATCACTGTACACATGCTGTAATGCTACTCCCCTATAGATTTATTACCTCCTGTAAAACACCCACTTGTGTTACACTGGGAAACAA